TGTTCAGCATCTTAGCTGTAGAGGGCAGTGTCACTGGCCCTCATATGTGGGATCCGAACCGGGGCCCTCTGGCGTCCCAAGCCAGTTCTTAACCAACGTGCCACTCGGCCGGCCCTCTTATTACTCTTCTTAATGTGGCTACTAGAAAACTCAAAACTACAGAGGTGGCTTGCTTTACATTTCTATTGAACAACCCTGGTCTAGGCTGTAAGTTCTGTAAGGGCAGGGGCAGGCCAGCCTTGCTCAGATAGCATCCCCTGAGCCTCTCCAGTTCATGGAACAGAACAAGTTGATTCACTCATTCATTCCCCAGGTATTAGAGAGCGCCTTGAGTAGGCAGAGTCCTAAACTCACACACGTCCTCCCCAAAGATTTCCTGCTCTCATCCCTGGCACCTGGACTGTGAACATCTCATACCACGATTATGCTACCTTGCAGATGTAATTAAGGTTATTAATCACTTGACTTTAAATTAATTGAGATAGTGATAAATTAATTGAGAGAGCGATTATCTCTTTTTTTAATTAGTGAACGTAATTTAATCACAGGAGCCCTGTAATAGCAGAGACATTCCCGTTGCTGGTAGCAGAAGAAGAAGTCGGAGAACTGAGAGGGATTTGCTATGCTGAGGTGGAGGGAGCCACAGGGCAAGGACCTGAGAGTGTACTGTAGGATCCAAGGGCAGCCCCAGCTGACAGCCAGGGAGGAAACCGCGACCTCAGTCCTACAACCACAAGGAACTGAATTCTGCCAACGATGTGAATGAGCTGGTGCTTCCCAGAGCCTCCAGGTTAAAGCCCAGCCTGGCTGACTCCTTGACTTCGGCCTTATGAGATACTGAGGAGAGAATCTAGTGGAGCCCAACTGGTCTTCTGATCTATAGAACTGTGAGATCATCAATGGGTGTTGTTTTAAACCACTAAGTCTGTGGCAATTTGTTATGCAGCAGTAGAGACCTAATATAGCTCCTCTCTGCATCAGGCACTGTGCTTGGTGCCAGGGATATAATGGTAAAAATGACAGACAAAATTTATGCCCTCATGGAGGAAGACAGACAACAAATAGATACAAAAGTAAATAAAAGAATAAAGATTTTTAAAATTTGTGACTTGAAGGAAATGAATAGAGAGCTGTAACAGGGATGCGTAAGAGTTCTTAAGTGACTACGAGACAATTATGATGTGGAGGTGTTTATTTTACTATACAGAAAGATGTACACAATTTTTCAGTGAAAAAAAAGCAGATTACAATTCTACAGGTATAATTCAATCTCATTTTTGCATCAACACACACACAAACATAAACAAGTATATATACCAGGATATTGCGAATAATTATCTCTGGGTGGTGTTTTTAAATTTTCTTCTTTAGAATTTTTTTTGTTATTGTCCTGTTTTGAATTTTTAAACCAAAGAATGTGTAACTGGTATAGTACAATGGAAAGCTCTTTCCATAGTGACAA